TATATGTACATGCATACATATGCACATATACACTTGCACATATACACATATACACATACACACACATATATGTATACATACATACACATATACATACACATATACACACATACATATATACACATATATAATGTGCAATATATCCACATATATACATATGCATACATATACACGTACACATACATACACACATTCATACCTCTATACCCATGTCTACCCATACACCCACTTATGTCTGCATTCGAAGACTATATCAATATTTAATTACATTATGAATACCCAAATCGTATAATTATACATATCTCTACACATATATTACCCGCTCTTCCATATCTATGGCAAGATATATAGGTACCCATCTAATTATACACATCCACACTCACATGAAAAAAAACCCAAAAAACCCTTGTATGCCTCTCTTTCCATATAAAAACATATACATTTACATATCAACAGGTGTATCAGTGTTCGAGTACAATACCATAGTTATATACATACAGTCATGTGTAGGCGCTCATGCGTGCATAGTAATATTTCCAAAAGCAAAAAAAACGAAAGTCATTCAATATTATTCTTCCTATATAGTTATTTCTCAATGTATTTACTTAGGTTTAGGTTGTTCTTATGTTGGCATTTAAAAATTAGTTCATTGTGTCTATTTAGTAATAAGTCTGGATCTTTATGTTTGATTATGAAGATTTTCTCCTTTATGCATAAGTCGCATCTGTCTCTGAATCTTATTTTCCACTTTATTTGTGGGGTTAGGCCACCCTCCAACAAATCCCAATAATGTTTTGATAAATTTGATATGTAAATGTATATGTCCGTCAAAAATGTGTGAATTTCTTTTCATTTTTCATTTCAACGTTTGGAAGTAAAGTTTGATGATCCAGAGCCTTGTTAAAGGGGTTGTGGTGAAATAACTTATTACATGGAACCTTAAAGTGGTCTGTTTTATTCAAACAAATATATATATATATATATATATATATATATATATAATATATATATATATATATATATATATATATGGAGAAATATAGTCTTAAGGTGTGCTATATTTATGGGATAAAGTGCTCGATATCAGAGATAGAGCGTGTAAATATAAAAGTGAACATAGAATCAACACTTAGAGGCGACAGTCTGTTTCATGCTATATGCAATCGTCAGGCTATATATATATATATATATATATATATATATATATATATATATATATATGTATATATTGTCCTTCACAGACAGACTGTTTTGCTGTATCACAGCTCATCAGTGTGGCTAGACGTCCGGTTGCCTCTAGCTAGGATCGAAACGGAACTGACATTGGCGCATGGCAGTGATGAAGGTGAATTTAAGCGTATTCATTTTTAGATAAACACACAGTGACTGAGAGAAATCGATTCGATTTACCGAAGAATCTTGCATTATTAGCCGTAATCATTCCAGGATCATTTTCCAACTTATTCAAGATGATCTTCACTCTCTATAAACTTCCAACTTTTTGTCGCCGTGTAACAAGTCACCTCAGTCACGTACGATTTCATTTTCAAGTATTTTTCACTGCTCTTCGAACTGTCATAGGTGAAACTCCTCTCTCACGTGCCATTGACTTAGATCTTTTCTAATTAATCTTCTTAACTCTAAGTTGAAATAATGACACCCTGTCCTGCTGTGACCTCCTGATCCAGATTTCCTCTCTGCTGTTCCCACGTTTTTAAAGATATTCACCGTTCTCTTGAGGATTCTTGAATGAACATTGAAGATGGAAGCCAGTGTATGAATGTTGGTATGATTACTGAAGGCTTGAATGATCGTTTTTTCTCTCACCATTGCTCAGTTGAGAAGAGAGTCGTGACTAACACAAAACGATTTTAACATGTTCTCTTTCTATCTGAATAATTTAAAGGTTTTTTCAATGTTTCTTACGACAAATGGAGTATATATATATATATATATATATATATATATATATATATATATATATATATATATATGGGGGGTGTGATTGAATGTGTGCGTAGAGAAAGATAAGTTTAGAAGGCAGGGATGGATGGAAACAAATAGAGAAGCATCAGAGGATTAAGGTTAATGAGCTTAGTCTTCTTAATCCTCGTTACTTTAAAGGAGTAGACGCTGTGGAGAGTCATTATCTCCCACGACCTGAAAGAACACGTCACATAAAAGAATGATAGGACTGTATAGTCTGTTCGATCCTTCCTGTGTTCAAAATTCAACATTAAAATAATGCAATGAGTCTTGACATAACAGAATCAGTCAAAGTCAAATGATACAAAACGTAAGGAGCGAGAATACCATTGTTTCTCATGGCTATGATATACATTCTGAAATTAAGAGTATATTAGCAAAATAACATATTAGCAAAGTAATATATTAGCAAAATAATACATGAGCAAAGTAATATATTAGCAAAATAATATATTATCAAATAATATATTAGTAATGTATTATATTAGTAAAATAAAATATTGGCAATGTAATATTTTACCAAAGTAATATATTAGCAAAATAATATATTAGTAAGTTAATATACTAGCAGAATAATGTATTTTTAGAATAATATCTTAGCAAAATAATATATTAGAAAAGTAATATATTAGCAAAATAATATATGAGCAAAGTAATAAATTAGCAAAATGATATATTAGCAAAGTAATATATTAGGAAAAATAATATATGAGCAAAGTAATATATTAGCAAAATAATATATAATCAAATAGTATATTAGTAAAGTAATTTATTATTAGAATAATATATTATCAAATAATATATTAGTAATGTATTATATTAGTAAAATAATATATTGGCAATGTAATATTTTACCAAATAATATATTAGCAAAAATAATATATTAGTAAGTTAATATACTAGCAGAATAATGTATTATTAGAATAATATATTAGCAAAAGTAATATATTAGCAAAATAATATATCAGCAAAGTAATATATTAGCAAAATAATATATGAGCAAAGTAATAAATTAGCAAAATAATGTATTAGCAGAATAATATTTTAGCAGATTGATATATTAGCAAAACAATATATTAGCAGAATAATATATTAGCAAAATAATGTATTAGCAAAATAATGTATTAGCAAAATAATATAGTAGCAGATTAATATATTAGCAAAACAATATACTGAAGCACGTAATTAAAAATGGAGACTACGGCTTAGACGACAAGAGATTTGCGTTCATTATTGAAAAACCTCACTTTCAAAATGGGAATTGATTTCCTTGGTAATAATAACTTTGTTAATTCTGTTTTAATGGAAATTTCTAACTGCAGAATGCAGCTATAAAGAACTTCATTAGACTATAAAGAACTTTCTCAATATCTCCATTAACATCAGGAAAATCAATAATGACATTCAAATAAACCGATTCGGATTGAATATATTTTTTTCTTTCACATGTTCAAATATTTTTGTTTTTATTTGCAACCTTTTGGCGGATAAATGAATCAGCCTTTAATGACCTGGGCAAAGAAAAACAAATAAACAGTTTTCCTATCCAGGTCCGAGTCTCATCTGAATAGAGAGGTTTGGGTGAAGGGACGAACGTAGTTTCGTGTTGCTCATTTACCCATAGCACAGGTGGTTGCTATTCGAGGTCCGAAATTCAGTGACGTCTTTTTTATGCGCCGCGTCCCGCGTCGCCACTGGCTTTAGCCCTTCAGACCCCAACGCCACTTCGTATACTATATATCTGAAAGACGGTTTATTTTCCTCATTTTATTTGTTATACGAGAGGGACAGACGCAGTAGCTTCGATTATATTATGTAGCGGGAGGAAAATCTACTGAGGAACGCATCTCCACTCGATGGCTTAGCGTTCCGCCACGTGCGGGCTAGCCGCTCTAAGGTATCTGGATGCGGAATGCGTTCACACTTTATATGCAAAATTTTAAAAAATGCAATCTATCGCTCTCAGAATTCCACGCCGACGAAGTATTTTGACCAATCTCTTGCCATCCTGGCCTAGCGTTCGCGTTCTGTAACACATGTTGAGAAGTAAATTTTCATTTTTTTTAATAAATTGAGACAACCGCTTGAACTTTAATTTTTATTTACACTATAGCCTTTCCGTGATACAGTTCCCCAGACCATAAAATTGTTGTATCAATCACAGAAACACAAAAATTTGTTCGATCATCTTAATAAATTTTGCGATGAAGATATTAGTCAAAATTTCCAAACTATTTTTTCATCTCAGTTATTTCGTCGCTCTGTTTCATTTGGTTGTAAATAGCAATCAATGCATGCACTTTTGTGCAAATTAAATGAAACAAAACGAATAATTCTGTTACTATCTACTATTTTTCGTATTTTCCCAATAAAACATGACCCCGTGCACTTGTTAGTATTTCGTATGTCCATTCCACGAAGTCGTTCCTTGCAGATTGACCACAGATTATCGATTTGATTTAAATCCGGAGAGTTTCCGGATCAGTCTATAGCACTTTCATTGTAAGGCTTTCCAGTGTGTCCCTGGAGCGTTAGAATTTATGTATACTTCCTTGGAGTAACGTCAATATATATGTATATATATATATATATATATATATAGAGAGAGAGAGAGACAGACAGACAGACAGACAGACAGAGACACAGAGAGAGAGCGAGAGATGTTGAAACTTGAAACATTTCATTTTCTCTCTCTCTCTATATATATATATAGAGAGAGAGAGTAGAAAGAGAGAGATTTTTCAACTTGAAATCATACTGCAAATCTCTCTCCATTTTTCTTTCTTATATATATATATATATATAGAGAGAGAGAGAGAGAGAGAGAGAGAGAGAGAGAGAGAGAGAAAGAGAAATGTTTCAACTTGAAAGCATACTGTAAATCTCTCTCTTTCTCTCTCTATTTTCTCTCTCTCCCTATCTATCTATATCTATATATATATATATATATATATATATATATATATACACACAATTCTGAGCCGTTATCCATTAGACCATACAGATCTAAGCTTATAGTACCTGGTATTCGCAAGCGGTCACTCATCTTGGTACTGACCATATGCGACGTTGCTTAACTTCGCACGAGAACCGGTGTTTCAACGTGATATGACCGTAAGCCACAGGAGCCAAATCAAATGAAGATAAGTTGGATAACCTCCTGCCTTAACGATCTGAATTTTCTCTTGCCGTTGTTTTTTTTTAATGACCCCTTATATTGTCATGAAGGTGAGTAACACCATTTTTCTTCCTTAAAACAGGGTACTTTCGACATAACGTTTCCGTTATCCGAGATTTTCTATTATTCGAGGAGCCACATTTCGTATTCTGCCTGACAAGCATTTTAGTGGATAGGATGTTTGCTTTTATTTGATGCTTGTCTGTAGCTAGAAAATTTGCTTCCCTGTCACGAGCTAGAATCTATCTTACATACTCATAAACCTGCCATTCGTACTTTCTTTGAATATTGCTGCCACTTCCGCTACCTGGCTGTAACACTTTGAAGATCAACTAAACAAAATTTTCAAAACGATCTCTCTTACCAGTACTTTGGCCATTTGCTGCTATATATTTATAAATCTTACTTATTATAAAACGCACATTATGTGTGTGTGTGTATGTGTGTGTGTCTGTACGTTTATATATTGGATCAGATTTCCTACATTTTTCAACCGATTTCAACAAAACTTCACTTTTTTTTGGCAGGTAGTGTTTCTTATTGTCTTGCACACTTTTTTTTCTTTATTTTTACATTCAGAATGCTTTCAAAATTCCATTTACAAGACAATTGTTTATAATAAAATTCTATTCAATCGATAGACTCATAACGTTTGAAAACAATGTTTTTAGTGTGGGTTTGACCAATTCGTAAAAAAAAAAGAAAGAAATTAAGACATGTGTGTCCGTCAACCTTAAAGAATAATCTTCGTCAATTTTATTTTTCAGTCTTTATGATGGTCGATACTTGATCTATCTCTCACTGTAACATCCCCGGGCAAGACCGGGCTCTACTGCTAGTTCTTGATAAAATACAAACAAGAATCTTTAATGTTATTGGTTTTGATATCTCGGCTTCAGTAACTTTCCTGCCGTCATAATGTATCTTCCTTTTGATATAAATACTTTCATAGTAATTGTTTTGATGAACTTTCCTTTTTAATACCTAGACTATATGAATTTACGCGCAGTACTATATTAGTGGAAAGATAATTATCATTTTACAGTTGAAATGGCTAGAAATGGTTGAATTGGCTTATATACACTCGAGATTAAATGAAAATTGTTGCACAAATCTTAAATTGCTATACAGGACGATGTATAGAGACCCTGTCGTCCGTCATATCTAAAGAAGAAAAAAACGAAAAATGTCTTTTGAACCTTTTTAATCCCAGGTGACGTTTTCTGTGTTGACGTTTTGCTGAATGAGACTTATTGCAATAATGTATATGTATATAGCTGGCCACTCGTATTCGAGGATACCCGGCTGCTAGACCTGCTAGCCAATCCCTATTGCTGAAGCTTGCTCAGGCGCAAATTTCTTTCATTCACATTCCCACCGTCATAAGTTAGCTTCCATTTTTCTATAAATAATTCCGTGGTAATTTTTCTGATGAACTAGGGTAAGAAGAGTTTATGTGTTTAAGCAGAGTACTAGATTTTCGGCAAGATCTCATCATTTTACCGTTGAAATGGCTAGATGTAACCGCAAGTTCTATGCTAAGAATTTCTTCTGTCTTACTTCTCGCTTGTGAGACTCTAATCCGGCTACTTGTTTTTTCAGTCAACTTCAAAAATTGAAATGTCAATCGTTATCTTTTGTTTTTATTCTTGATTTATTCTTGATCTTTTATTGTTCTCTTACCTGAATAGTGTTTTTTTTTTCTCATATTTTCTAACACTCCCTTTGCCTCTTAGGGACTTTATTGCCTTGATTGGGGTCAAATATATATATTTTTTTAAATGGACGTTGTAGCAGCTCTTTAGACAGACAGACCGACAGACAGACAGATAGATAGATAGATAGATAGATAGATAGATAGATAGATAGATAGATAGATATGAAGAATGAGATAGATAGATAGATAGATAGATAGATAAGAAGAATGAAATTTTAGATAGATAGATAGATATGAAGAATGAAATAGATAGATATGAAGAATGAGATAGATAGATAGATAGATAGATAGATAGATAGATATGAAGAATGAAATAGATAGATAGATAGATAGATAGATAGATAGATAGATAGATAGATAGATTCTAAACTTTCATCTCGGGCGAAAGTTTTTGCTTGAGTCTTCTAATCATTTGACGAAGATCTATAAATTTCAGTTGTAATTTTCTTTGGATCATTTCCGGGATCTGAAGCTCCATTCTTTTAGCCTGATTGAAATCTAATAAATGATTCTTCCGATGATATCTTTCTGAACATGAAAGGCAATTTTTACTTTCATACGATTTATGAGCTGATTAATGTTTTGCCGGGTGCTCTTATATCTGCTCTCGAATCACGACCGAGACGATTTCTTCACTTTGCAAACTCTGTACCGGGCTCTAATACTTTGAATATCACCTAAACAGAATTGTCATAACGATCTGTCTTACCAGTACGTTGGCTGTTTGAGCGTCTTCGATTTTGAAGATCAGCATTCCAAACACGTTTGAAATCTTTAGTCTCTTTCCTGTTCTGATATGACACCGATTTTGACACCAACAGAAATGAACAAATTGAACTTTATATCATGTTAAACATCAACAAGTTTATTGAAAAGAAAATGTTATCTGATTCCTGACTTAACAAGACTCGTAACCTGTTAGGGTTTTTGGGTTTGTACTGCAGCCATAGCAGTAAATGTGAAGCTAGGTCATAGCGTAATAAACCAGACATGGCTATAAACGAATTCCGGAGAAGAACCCGCCATCTATTTAATACGACATCCGACAGGATTCTAGCGTTTCTATGAAATATTTTTTAAAACTGTCAAATTTATAGGGACCTGTAAATCGAGATAAGAATGATCTAGAAACTCTTGCGATAGGGGACGTTGGCTGTGATGAGGAAGGGTAGCGAAAATCATGGGACATATCAGCATCTCGGAGCTATAAAAGATTACCTTGCACGGTTATGAGCAAGGTTGTCACCTAGACTAGCTCATACTTCATCAGACTCTTTTTGTAATTTAGGGATTTCTTTATTAGACGACTTACGAGTTTAAGGAAAGAGCCACTTCAGTTTTAATCTTTAACACGTAGTTGGTAGACGAGAAAGCGATCGGTTTGTTCCGTTCCCTTGGATACCTTTGCGAAAGTAAACATAACGAACATGACTGGGATTCGAACTCGGCTCATCGATTTCGCTTTCCGAGTTGATAATCGTTAAACTACAGGCACATCTCATATTGACACTAATTCGTTTAGATGGAGAGGATTTTTTGTGGTTTATATGTGCAGTCCCTCCCAAGGTAATTGCTGAAACTTAACTAATGCATGAAATAATAATGCAACACAAAATGTACTTAGAACAAAATGTATTGAAATAAGGAAGTGTACACAATATTTACATATAGTATTTTGTATATTCCTGGTAAGACCGTTCCTGAAGAAGAATGTGTTGATTGAGTCGCAGTCGGGCAGAGTCTCTGGTTGAATCTCTTGATTCCTTCCCTCGTCTTCCCGGTACCAACCATATTTATATGGTCGGTACTCCACTATGCAAATTAGGTGGATCCTACCACAACAGTAATCTGGGAAATTATAAGCCAAAATGGAAAAAGACTATTTGTAACGACATTAAGTAATATGTTTGGACTTAGTCGGACTGGGTTTGTTTACTTTCTTGTTCCAACAACTTCAACAAACGGGTTACGAATAAAATATTTACACTTTGGCTTACATATTCTTCAATACTGTTCTTGATATATGAAAAATACATCGTTGTCACACACACACACACACACACACACACACACACACACACACATATATATATATATATTATATATATATATATAAATAAATAAAAAGAAAGAACAGTAAGATATAAAATCCGGTGTTCTTATAGATATTTTATTTTTACAAAATAGTGCTCAATGTAAATTTACAGAGCATTAATATTATAAATTAATTGATTTAAAATATGGTTATTTTCACATACACAGTTCCAACCATGTTTCAAAAATAGAAGCTAAAAACCCTAATTTTATTTTTTGCAAATAAATTAAAAGCATTAGTTCCATTTCATCTTCAAGCGAATTTTTGGAGTAACTTTTAAAATTTACCGGGTTTTAAATACACAGCTAAAATCACGTTTCCATGGTTACAGAATATTCTACTCAAATTGAACACGGGGTGTCTAGATTTTCCTTATGACAGTATCATTGTATCAGTTATTAGCTACATTTTGGTAAGGGGTGAGGATGTATTTTACACTGAAACCTGACGTCGGTTGAATGGATGTCGTCTGAATTTAAAAAAAAAAAAAAAAAAAATTGTTAACGGTAAAAAAATTTTCAACGTCATCTTTTAAAATTAAAATTTTTTTTTACAATACTTTTTATTTAACTACGATTTGAAATATTTTCCTTTTAATTTTTTTTATTTTACTATATTCTTTTTAAGAACAGTTAAATGTATTAGAATCCATTATATTATGTAGGATTATTTTAACATTAAGTTTAAGTATGTATATGAGGTTACATTTTTTTTTTTTTTTTTTTTTTTATATGACTATGACAGCAGAAATGGTTACTTAATTTCACTGATTCAGTAAACTTTTCTTTTATATATAAACCTATTATTATAATATTTCACATGTAAGTACTGAGGACATGGGTCATTCAAAAGCTTACATGTTATGGTATTTCATATTAATTTTATTTTACTATAGGTGTTATTTTTGGATTCTTTTTTAATGCGTGTAGTATTATTTAAAAGAAATTTAGGTTAGAATTCATTCAATTTAACTACAATTTTAATTACAAATTCAAAATTACAACTTTAAAATTTTAAAATATTTTCATTGTTTAGTTTTAATAGACTATATTACTTTATAACAGAAGGAAAATTACTCATATTAAGTAAGATTATTTTTCCATATCAAAGTATATGTAAATTTTTTTT